GTGAGATCAGGCTGTTGAAATTGCATAAGGCCGCAGGAGCAGATACTATTCCTCCAGCCCTCTTCAAGTTCGGTGGACCTGCTCTAATAGGTGATCTACACGAGTTGCTAGTAAAACTTTGGGAGCAGGAGACAGTCCCGACAGACTGGAACCGCTCCGTCATTGTCCCAATTTTCAAGGGAGGCTCCCGTTTGGTATGTGGCAATCATAGAGGGATCAGTCTGATTTCGATTGCCTCTAAATTGCTTGCCTCTCTCATTCTCCACAGACTGACTGGCACTCGTGAAAGCCAAATTCGTGAAGAGCAAGCCGGATTTCGTCGAGGTCGGGGCTGCATCGACCACATCTTCACATTGCGTCAAGTGTTGGAGCACCGCCATGTTTATTGGCGACCCACCGTTGTCGTGTTTCTTGACATAAAAGGTGCCTTCGACTCAGTCGATCGATGTGCCCTTTGGGACTGTCTGTTGAGGAAAGGTGTGCCTGATAAATATGTAAACATTATCAAAGCGCTGTACGCACATAGTTCGGGCAGGGTGAGGGTTTATGGCAAACTCTCGCCACCCTTCAGTATCACCAGCGGTGTGAGACAAGGATGCCCGCTGTCACCTTTCCTCTTTAACTTCGCTATTGATGAAGGCATGGAAACAGTGTTCGCTGGACACGACCTAGAAGGTGTGGAGCTACTCCCTGGTGAGCGACTTCTTGACTTGGAGTATGCAGACGATATTGCCCTAATCTGTGACGGCTCCCAAACATGCCAAACAGCACTGAACCGATTAGCACTGGCTGTCAGTCGTTTTGGGCTATGCTTTGCTCCATCAAAATGCAAAGTACTTCTCCAAGATTGGCAGGGACCCAATCCTGCGCTAACGCTTGGTGGTGATCTGCTAGAAGTCGTTCAGGAATTCAAGTACCTGGGCAGCTATATTAGCAACCGTGGAATTGAAGATGAGGTTACGAACCGTATAGCAAAAGCTCGAGGTGCTTTTGCCAATCTGCGCCAGCTGTGGCGCAGACGCGACATTACTCTCGCCCTCAAGGGCAGAGTTTACAACGCAGCCGTCCGTTCAACTCTCCTATATGGCTGTGAAACCTGGCCCATCAGGTCGACAGACATGAAGAGACTCGTCACGTTCGATCATCGCTGCCTTCGCAGCTTAGCTCATGTCTGGTGGGAACACCGCGTGAGCAATGAGCGTGTTCGACGTCGCGTATTTGGTGCAGGAAGAGCGAGTGAACCGCTCAGCACGATTATATCACGCACCAGGCTCCGATGGCTGGGCCACGTCTTGCGCATGCCAGCACACCGACTCCCACGACGTGCATTGTTTGCGCGTTGTGGGTGCGGTTGGAAGAGGAGGAGGGGAGGCCAAGTGATGACTTGGTCGCGAGAAATGAAAACCCTCACTTCGAAGTTGGCGTCGGTTGGTGCATCCCGACTGCCTGGCTGGGGTCCTAAGGACGGTGAACACGTTTGGCTGGACACACTTGCTGATATGGCTAGGAGCCGGCCCCAATGGCGTTTGTGTTGTGAGTTCCTTTGTCCATCCCCCTCCTGTTTAGCATCCCCCTCCAATCACGATCTCAATCGTTAGGCATAATATGACTTTCTTTTACGGCAGCCAGCTGTTAGCTCTCCGGAACGATGTCCATCCGTTACTGGGGACTCAGCGGGCGTGTCAATGTTTGTTTGTTTGTTTGTTTTTTCTTTTCTTGCCATTTGTATTGCGGCACAATAGCTGAGGTGTTTTCCACCTCCAGCTAACGTGTAATGATGATGATGATGATGACCCTTTTCAGGGAAAATATACCGTCTACCGAGTCTCCTCTTTTGGTTTCGCGGTTGATTGGGCATCTGGCACAGCATATTGTAGACAACCGTACTACAGTCTAAAAAGTACAACAATCAGAGTACCCAAGCGGCCTGCTAGCCAATAGATCCCAAGACAGCCGTTTCATTCTTTAGGGATTTGAAGCCAGTGAGCACTCATTTTCATTCAATTAATCGGATGTACGGTCCGCGTACTGAATGTAGCTGGGTTCAACCATTTCGACTTTATCCGCCAAACTGATGAAATCTATATTACAACTAGTTTCGTCGCAGCCGGGTTCAGTTATCAGGAGCACAAACATTCGGAGTGGCCTCAGACTACAGTGTCGTTTTAGTGGAACTCTTCAGCAGCACGCTTTCCCCTCGCACCGATTCGAATTCGAACCTAATGCTGCGATATCTCACGGTTTAAGTCAGATCAGTTTATCAGCTGATGTCCGTGAATGCGAAATGCGGTGCAGCCTATTTTGCATTGCCACACATTACTAACGGTGGTAACAATACAAGATGCTTGATAAATAAATAAGTTTGCCTGATATTGTAGCAAAGGACCAGAAATAACTGAATAGATGCAATTAATACCGCTATTTCTGTGGTTGTGCCATTTTCGACAGTGTCGAACCACTGTGACGACCGCCCCCGAGATCCTCATAGAGGTTGGTGATGAGAGCCAACCCGACCCAGTCTTTCGGTGAGTCTCTCGGTGCTCATCTGCCATGCCATTGGCCGGACACTTATGGATCTTACCTAAATGGGCGTAATGTTGACAAACAACGTATGCCGAACAGATTGACCTACATGTAGGTCGAGGAAATGACTGTACCCGCGGACGCAAATGAGGGCCCATTTTGAAGTACCTGTCAGGTGTATGGATTGCAGTCTCAATTCGGACCACGATTCGCATTGATGTAAACCTAGGTCTGTGCGATCACTTGGACCGTATCCGAAGCAGATGGAAAATAGGTGTTGCTAGCCCGAAAACACGATGCGCTTCGATCTCATTTGCTCTCATCAGGTCGAGATAACAAGCCTCAACCCCACGACCATTGGAATGGTAGCCGAAACCACTAACGCTTTGGTCACCGGGTCACGACGGACAAGGCTTATCACAACGGTTAATGACTGAATAGTGGGCCAGTTTGAAGTGCTCGTTGTGTGAATAGATGGCGGCGCGCTATTCACATTGAACTTCATCTTGGCCAGCCCGATCATTAGGACCGTAAATAAGGGATGAATACTGAATACTGGATGGAGGTAGCAAGAAGAGATGTCTCTGTGTAGCTGCATCTAAAATCTATCAGGCACATAGACCTGTTATATTTGAGAGCATTCGCGATATTTGATATCGGCAAATTGTTTGCCTAGCATTTTATGAATTTCCGACATGGATTTTGTCCAGACTACTTGCAGTGGTAGGTTGTTCCATATATTCACGACTCTTAGTTCGAAACAATGTTGGTTGGCAACTCACTTTAAATCAGGTACTACAAGTTTTCACCGATGTCCATGTGCTGCTTCGTGTCCTCATATGAAGCACTGGCCCCAACATGGGTACTCACCAAAAAGTAATACACGGTGCGTCATGATAAGGTCAACCTGCAGTCGACGATAAGACAGTGTGTAAAGCTCTAGTCTCTTGCACCAGTACAGTTAAGATGAGCCTGGTGGCCGCATGCTCTACCTGCTCAATCCTTCCTACCTCACCCGGGTGATAGGACAGTATGCGGATGAGACTTACTCTTGCAGTGGTCGTATCATTGAAAAGAACAGTCGAGTAGAATTATCTTCGGTCCAAGTGCTGAAGCTGTGCTTGATCGCCAAAAGCACACAAAGTCCTTTTTAGTAAAGCTCATTCGTGTTGTCCATGAATTTTAGGTCGCAGCGTGAATGTACACCGAGCTTTCTCACGAAAGTCATGGGACGCTACGGTTGACCGGCTACGGGGTAGGTTCCACTGTATTAACATTTACCCAGCGTCAAGAATAGTGATACAACAGGGTTTATCGGAAAGTTGACCACTGCGGACCCCATGGAAAAGCGATCAACTTCCTACTAAAACGGGTCACAGTCATCGGGTGCGCTGATTACTCTCTCTACACCTTCAAGTCATTTGTAAACAAACCACAAAGCTAACGGAGAAGCTGAGGTACATCGTTTATATGCCTCAGGAAGAAAATAGCCCCAGTAGAGTTCCTTGGGGCACGCCACTGATCGAGGCATTCCCCGCAGTCACATGGTTGCGGAGCTGGACCCTTCACTTTTGACAAACAAGGGAAGTCCTGATCCATTGTTGCAGCGAGCCGCCAACACCGCACACCCTCAGTCTGTGGGGGAGAACCACCTGATACACCTTGACAAATACCTTACTGAAGTCAGCGCTTGCAACAATTTCTGCATTGTCTACAACAGATTGGTATTACCCACGATCGGTTTCGATGTTGTCTGGTCTCTGCAGGTAAAGATAGTGGGCAGCAAAACCCTGGGACTTTGGGATGTCAACGAAAGGCTCTACTCCTAAGTCACCGTGTCGGCAACCTTTCCATCCGCGCATTATACGGTGTGGTATCAAACACCAAATGATTTGCTGCAACCTTGCTCTTTCGGTTCTGCGACCAGATATAGGCAGCAACACTTCGCAAGCATCGCTGGTCACACACCATGCTTTGGTGTTTGCAGTGCTTAGTTACCAGGTCTGTGTGACACTCAGAGGCACTGATCACTCCACAGGGGTGCAAACCCTTCCACTAACCAACTGCTGTTTGAAAACCTATCTGTTCTTATCAAATTAAAACCTCACGTCTTGTAGGGCTAATTGGACGAGAGTAGAAGCCAATGGCTGTTAATTCTGACGTTTAAGTCCTTTGAACATTTACTTGCCACTTGCATTGAGTTTGACGAGGTCCAAATTGTGTGAAAAGCGCCGGGTACTTTTAGCTGGGCTTACAGGTGTGCACTCTTGCGGGTGGAATCCCCCGCAGTGCATACATTGCCCCGATTCCGCCTAACTTTCTACATTACTGGGACTATGGTTCATTGAACAGTACTACTACTCGAACCTAACAGCGTCTTTTGCTTATGTGCAATGTGATATGCCAGTGCGACATTTGTTATGTACTATGTCAAATGAAGAGTAACATCTCTGTCTTTTCATTATTCCCCATGGTAGCCAAGACTTGCCCGAGTGGGACCCCGAGAATAATCCACCAAATGAGATGGACTTCCGTTTACGAGAACTTCGTGACAGCCAATTGGCCTACCTTAGGGAAACGGCTGTAGAGGCCAGGGAAAGCTTGAAGACTATCGATGAGGCGGTGATTCTGTTCAATGGACTTTCAGAAACTATGAAGAATTTGGCCAAAGAAGTTCGTGCTGATGTCAATGACTCGCTTAGTTATCATACTATAGTTCCCAGATTTATTGGGCCTTTGTTGCTTTTACTCCTACTTGCTACCGTCTAGTTTAAATCCTTGAATATTTTCCTTAGCGGCATCTCTGGTAACAGTTATAGGCATAAAAGATCACATACGAATTCCCTGCATTATTACGAATTAATTTGCATTGAACTTGATACCACTGCGTTGCGTTTCAACGTTGCTTCAGACTTGCTAATAAACACATATTTTTAGTGCAAATTTGTATACACCTGATGGCTGATAGAACTCTGCATCTACATTAGTAAATGCGGTGATTTGACTTGTAAATTCACAGTCCGACGGAAGATATAGATGGGTGACATAACAGAGAGATCGAGAGACGTGTGTGCATAGTTCAAAAGACGTTACCCGACTGAGTTCAGGCTATTCTGCTGGAAGGATACCTATTTCTTAGAAAATATTAGTTGAATTTTATTCTTTTTTTGCAGCTTCATCGTAGCTACACTAGATTTCAATGAAAGCACATTCGCTTTCAATTTCTCGTATAATTCGTTCAATTAGGAGTACGGTTGGGTTTGTAGCTAGCATTTGAAGGTGGATCAATGCGATCTCACACCAATGGGGTGCGTATCCCTGTGTGAAGAGTAAAAGATCTATACAAAAGAACGATTTTTGACTGGAACACTTTAGGAAGCTTTTGAATGTCTCGTTTTCTTTCATCTTTGTTTTTTTGCAGTAGGTCTTATTTAGAAACACAGCCACTGCCAAACTTCACCAAGGCGCTTTCTCCACCAAGTTAAATAATTGTTGAGCTGTTGGTGTATCCTTGTACTTACACCAATCTAGGTCTCAGATACTTTTCATTTCGTTGTCTATGCGACACCGGAATCAGGGTAAAATAACTTTCTAGTTTCTACTGAGAGGTTTGCTTGACTAGTGTTTGATTTTAGAATAAAACCACGAACTTCCTACTCCACTCCGATGACACTTGTAGGTTAATGTAGTCCAATACATAAGATGTATCAGGTGGAGTAACCTGTGATAGCCTCAACAGTACGTGGTGTACCATTCCGAACCATCACTGCCACGCACGCATCACCAGTGGCGTGCGGGCTAGGAATACTGCGAGGTCGCGTGCACCTACGCAGATCCAAACCGGTAACTTTTGGTTTACAAGTCGGAAGCCTCACCACATCAACCACCGGCCGGTAACCGAGTAGTTGGAGCATTCCGACGGTGATATGAGTGCCACATCTGCGGTTTCACCGTCCTCTAACTCGTCGTATTGTTGCTCCGTCTCACCAGCCCTGTGATGTTTAATTATCAACCTAGCAAATTTCGTATCTAGACTCCACAACCATCCCTTCGGATGACGTTTGCGCGTGTTCTCCAATTCTTCGTCCATTTTGTATTTTTGCTTGGTACTGTGCCTCAGTAGGTCCACAACAATAGTGCAAATGCTGAAAATGCGCGGCTTCGGCTGTATGAACTCCATTTGAACTCGTGTTTAGCTTTGATCCGGTTTGAAACCAACGACACACTAGTCTACATTTGTGGGGGCTTTAGTTTATCTTCATAAACGAATTTACCCAACGGATTGTTTGACCGATAAACTGGAGCCACTTACAAATAACCTGGTAGTAACGACCTCTGTCACGGAAAAATTTTAGCCATCGTGGACAATCACCAGGGTCGAAGGTCTTAGTCAATGCGGCATGAAGAAAGTTAGTACAAGGGTGCGTTAAGCTGAAATCAGCCCCTGGTATCATCTTCGCTATTCATAGAATTTACTGCGCTGCTCACGTTGTGATCATCAGCCAAACACGAAAATTATCAACAACCTCAACGAAGAAAGCTTTGTCAACTGTGGCCAACTCGAACTCCGTATACCTACTCCTACGTGACTGTGGACCCCGTGCCCTAGGCGGAACGGACAAGACTCTGACTTCTCAAATGGTAGAACATATGAGAACGGTATTCTCCACCCATGCCCCCCTTAAGTTCTCTACTTACCTATACCACCGGATTTCTCCGCAGATTACTACCCATTGGTCACGGGTCAAGGGATGTAGCTTGGTTCGGCTTTCATTTACTTTACATTGCTGCACATACTATTTCCTTGTTCCACCTGATATCACGAGCAACCGGATGAAACCAGCTCTGACTGTTTGGAACTAATTATTTTTAACATCAGGTTGCCCTCAGCTTGACCTTTCGTCGTACATGTAGCACTTCCGGCTTGTTAGATAGCAATCGCTATTAGACAGACACAGTTGGCAACTCCGATTCCGGACTTGCCTGTTAGTGCGGTCTCCATAGGACAGTCACAGGACGTCTGCGCCTGCAGAGCTGCTTGGTTGCACCACATATGCAGTGCAAACCCGAAGGAATAAGACCGAGAGACATGTGGATGGGTGCCAGGTTTCGTCAACGGAGCTGGCCCACACTCCTTCAACAAACAGAACAGAAGCATTCCTGCCTTATTGGGAAAACATGCGTACCAGACGTACGCAAGGCCGTGGCTGGGCCGTAGCCTGTTCCACACAGGATGGAATCCCTCTTTGAACCTAGCGCCGTCACGAGGACTGTGCACCTCGTCCCCTCCAGCAACGACCTACTGTCTCCAAACTAGAATACTGCTTGCATTGGGTACGGTTACCATACGAACAAGCACAATGCAACCGTAGCTACTAAGTACAACCCATTATTTCCCACCGTCAGGACTGGCTCGATTGAGGTTTGAGTCACTGCTGACGTTTGCACTCCACGACTGCTAGAACTCAAAAGACGAACCAGGAAAGACTTGTATGCATTAAATCACACTTGTTTATATAGTTTCAAAAAGCTTTTGAAGGGAAACTACTGAATTGCGTTCGAGCCAACCAAACAGAGGGAAGAGGCTAAATGCAACAAGTGTATGAGTAACCGTGGAATGATGAACGAACCAGCTATGTCCTTAAAAATAGTATTGCACGACCTAAACTGCAATGTGCACATCCATTCACAACGACGGGTTCTGTCTAATCAGAATAACGAAATGGCATGTTTAAACAGAGGTCATGAAACAGACGATGAGAAGAAATGCAAACCTGGAAATTAAGAACTACCACAAAAATGTATGTCAACTAAACATTCCCTTAACATAAACACATAAATCTTTATGGGAATAAAAGCTAATCAAATGTGTGCTTGGAAAAGCTGCTGCTGGAACTACATCTAAGGTGAGCGTCCATTAATAACGACTTGCTTTTGCCAGTCGGATTAAGGAAGTGGGGCGTTTAAACAACTGTCAAGAGGTAGAGGATAGGAAGAATGGAAACTGGTAACCAAGACCGTTCACATAACTGAATTTCAAATATGAATTCTCATAACAGGTGGGAAGAGTGAGTTATCTGTGCTCACTTCTTGGTCAACTCAGATTAACTGAACTGTGGTGATACAGTTCAGCAGACTTGGTTTGATACATTTGCACGTGATGCCTTGAGATTGTCTAGCATAAATAGATTATTTTCTTTGCGGATGATCAAGCTCAGTTTTGGTTTCTTTCATTCCTCAAAATGATTTGTAACTATATTCGGTAATGAGGTACAATCCAGAAGACCTTGTAGTCCAGGCCAAACGGTGCATACTTATTATCTGTAAACAGGGTGAACCAAAATTTGGCAACCAGTAGTAAATGGCACCTCAACGAAATCTCGAAATTTGTAGCACAGGGTGTTCACCTTATCGGGTCAAACTTAGGAACAACTTCAGAATGAGTTTCAAAGGAATATTTATATGTAATTATCGTTAAGGAATTTTCTTAAACCAATTGAGTAGAACACAAAGCAAGCGTTTTTTTAATCGGTGATATCCTCTGTAACTATCGTTACTTGCGATCCCGCTGTACGAGTGCAAACATTCTTTTATGCGCTTCTTTTTCTGTCTTTAGCCGCAAGAAAGTTTCCCCGATGTCGTCATTTGGATGCTCAGTGGAGGAAAGCGCAAGGCATACTACAGAATCCCGCCGGATAAAGTCATCTACAGTACAAATCCAGTTTTTATAGGCGCATTTTGTGGCATCCCTCAGATAGTAAATTTCAAGGTAAGAGAAGATTTTTCACTTACCCATAACTATCGATTGGTTGCCTAAACACGAAATAACCATTTATAAATAAATAAATAAATAAACGTTTTATTCCTCAGCAGTGCGTGGCACAGACCAATTGGGTGGTCATATCAACATGTACAACTTGATCGCATAATATAGTTAATTATTCGTCTTTTGATCAATGATTCCCATATGGGTTTTTGAAATGATTGGCATTTTGGAAAAAGTAGAGAGATAAAGAAACTGGGAACAATAATAAATGTAGATTTTGTGGAAAGTTCAAGTAAAGTAATACGGTAATCCATGGAACTGTCCCCAGGGGACTTGCTTCCATGCAGGGTATTTCCACGATGGGTTTCACCCGCAGGTTGATTTCTTTCGGATTCATGGTGCTTATCGAAGCATTGATTTCAAATTCACATCGATTTATCATTGTGTCCTCAGCAGTAACGGATGATTACTGCGTAAGTCAGATAACTCTCCTTGCAGGCTGTTGAGAAATATGGAGTTCACCAGTCCGTCTCTTAAGTCACATTATTACGCTTGCGTTTCTTCACGCTTACTCACACAACCAACTCAAAAGAGAGCAGCCGTTGTTGCGTTCCTGAACTGTTGTAACCAGACGAAAACTAAAGTATATGTGCATGCATGGGATATTTATACGTCTTAAGTACACAACTTATAGGATTGTCGAATATCTAGCTGTAAACCAGTTGAGCGCAACAGTCATAAAATTAACAGAACGGCAGTCATACAAATATCATCGACCTGGTTGCTGCTAAACTAGTAGGATTACTGAAACTACGTAACCCAGTTAGACTCAACATTATCGGTTCTACCTGGTATGCAAGGTTGTCACATATAAGCAGAAAGTTGAGGAGCAACGTTAGAGCAATGAAACGGTACTGGCTACTCAGACCTCTTTTATTCAACTACTTCAGTTGAGTCGACTGTATTGCTACGTGTGCAATTCTATTTTCCCCAGAAATTTGTTTTCAGTAACTCACGTCATATGGTTGCAACGAGGGTAAGTGTAGACGAGTTGCTGGGTTGCTTCCGGCATCCATCGGATCGGACTAGTTACTGACTTACGGTGCTCTGCTAGTTCTCTGTGATTCTTAAGTAAGAGGACTTTAGGACTGTAGTCTAACCACCACTCCGGAACCACCGAACTATCGTTTCGCCCTATGGGGGTTCGTCAGTGGTGCTCATTCCGACGCTCCCCTTCAGGAAAGCGAACGCATAACTGCTAGCAGCTTCGTCAGCTAGCCAGCAGCTGTGCCACTGAGCCACAGGAGACGGCGGCAGATCAACACAACTTGCAAGCTAACCAGAATATAGCACGACTTACCTTCTACTGTCTTACAGGTTACCAACCTTACAGACGACAGCGGTTGGCCTCCAGCACTAACGATTTCCACAGCACAGCAGCTATGTAGGGTACAGTATTTGAAGACTGTGATTGTGAGTGTTTTGATTACTGGTGATTAGGAGGACTTAGCTTAACTTTTACTGGTTCGTCCCAGCAGCGCACAAGTACGGTAATCTAACCATAAATTCGAAAAGGCACCAGACGATCGTCTCGCTCGATCCGGGCTCGTCAGTAGTGCTCATTCCCTCGGTTCGCGAACCCACTAACAGCGTTTGCTAACCAGCTAACAACAGGCCCCTGCGCCATGGGGACGGTGTCGGACCGTTGCAATATACAAGCTAAATGGGAAATAGCGCGACCTATCCTCCATTCCATGGCAGTAGAGGAAGGAGTTTGAAAGTATGAACGTGTTGAGACTTGCACACTACCGTGGTAAGATGAGGATTTGTAAGAGGATCTTGGGGTTGCGCTATTTCACTACGATATCGCTTGGATCAGCAGGTGCGGCGAATTCGTCATCTTTCGTGATCCCTTGCGCTTCCTACCGTGTCGCATGGTGAGCACCGTTGGGGAAGCTTGGAATCCACCTTAGTATTCTCATTGGAAAATCAACAGGATGTTGGTTTCTAGTAGAATGGGGTATATCAGGATCTGGGATATTCGGCTCAGGCAACACCTAACATTCCATCCCACTAAATGTGGAAAAGTTTCTTCCATCACGCACAAATGTGGATCACTTGCTATTTGGAACTAGCTGCCATGCCCATCTTAAGCGGGTTTCACATGTTGCGTTTACTCCTACAGATGCAGCAATCAAGAGTCTATTTAAATGAAGTACCAGAGACTAGTGCTCATGAATTTAGTCGATTAGGCTGCAGTCATTGTAAGGAGTGTGGTTGACATGAATGCAGTTTCTAACGGCAGCCCTGATTACAGTCGACTGATTGCAATAGTTTAAGGCGTGACCAACAAGAGCTTTTTAAATCTTTTTATGCTATACAGAGTGCCACATCTGAAGGTACTCATGTATTCTTTACTGATCCGGTAACCATAGCTTATAACTTACAAGCAGGAAATAATTGGCTGTTCCAGGAAGCGTGTGATTGGATTTTACGCACCACGTGGGACTTAACGAAAAGAGACATTTTGCAGTTGCTCTTTCAACATTTGGACGTGTAAGATAAAGGAATATTTCTGAATTCGGAATCCTCAACGCGCTTTTACGGTATTATCCAGTCAAACTGATGATATCAGGAAACATCACTGGTGCCCGAACGATTACTATAGCACAGTTATTATGTAAATTTTATCACTTTGTTTCCCTCCTCCAAGAAACTGACGGCGAAAGACGAAAGTGAAGAGCAATGTATCAGGCCAGCAGTTCAGGTCAGAGCGATCTTCTGGTTAGGACTGGAGAAAGATCAAGCAGCTTGGAATGAATCGTTGGTGGAGTCAACAACCCATGTGGTCGCAGAAACGGTGAGTTTTCTCCATGGTTCCGTCGAATACTTTATTTCGTATCCACTGACCGACCGCTCTCCGTAATCTCAGTCTCCGCTGCCTGCAGGCAAAATCCTCGCTCACCGCTTTTCATGATTCATGGTTCATGGCGGATTTGTAAAGTAGGTTGTGCAGGCTTTCGCTTAACCAATTACCTATTTACTTTCGTGCTGTCAGGTGTCTGGAACGATTGGTATAAAGAAGCGCACGCAAAGATTCCGCATTTTTGCCCAATCAAAAGCAGTCATCAACAAAGACGGGCTTCTTTAGAAAAAAATTCCTGTAAAACTTCTTAGCAGCGATTACTTTGTCATCATGGCGCGCAGAATCTCCTTCCTCGAAAACTAAAATCCTTTCGCTACCGTGATGCTATTAGTGTTCAATGACCAAAAATAATAGGCGTAAGCCAATAAGTTTCAAGTATCGTGAAATTGGTGAAGTATGTCATGGCATCACTCTGCTTGCTTCGTAACTGCCGCATATATGTCTATGGTTCATAATCGCTGCTGTGAGAGATCCGGAGACCCTGTTCCAATAAGTCAACAAACAGCATCCAGACACGCTATTTCTATCGGTACCTTCGGCATTTTACACCCATCTTCGATTTACCACTTTAGGGTTTTACCCAACTATTTGAAGCACTGGTCAACATAATCCACACCGAGTTAACCGGTTATTAGACATGCGAAAATCATGCCTTGCTCAGCAGAGACACTCCAAGCATAGCAGACTTACCAGCGTGCCACCGAAAGGCAAACTACTAAGCGTCAACTGGAGAACTTCCGTTCTACTCATGCTTTACACATACGATCGGTCGACGGTCACATCGCAGCATTCGACACCCTACCTTTGGCGAATAAGGGTGTATCCCGCTGGCACTAAAGTTATAGAGGCTTCGAAAAACCCAATGAGTTTCACCAATTTATACATGCCTCTAGACTTCATTGAATCAAAATACAGGAACAGCATCAAAGTGTGGTAAAATGCAAAGAGAGGCGACAAAATGCATTGGAATGAGTTGCAAACGAAGATCAACTTAATGAGCAGTAGGGTTTTTTGTGTTCTGGATACGCTCCGTCGCAGTTAGACCCAGACAGATAACTAGCACACATTCAGGAAAGTGCTAGACCGCCTTTTCCTCCTGTTGGGAATCGTCAGTAGCGCGCACTGGTCGGATCATACCAAATTCAAACCCATGACCTTACTCTTGCGAGTCAGCGACTTATGACACTAAGCCGTGGGTGATGGCATCGAGCGGACACAACTGTAAGCTAACTGCGATACAGCGCGGCTCATCTCCCAATGTCATGCAGTTTTTGTGAACTTGCAGAGGACAGCGCTGGCCCCTAGAGCTTCGGCTTCCTTTACAAGCCGCTACCAGTCGAGGTAGCATGCAAACTGTTAAGGTGCTTACTGATTATTATTTAGTAGTAAAACGATTTATTGTGTGTTGGCGAAGATTCATCGTAGCCAGTCAGCTACCCCAACTGATACCAATACGGGTGACGGTGGAGGATGAACCACCCTATATCAGTTAGATGTCAGTTGTATTGGTCTGCTGCCATCGCTCATGGCTCAATGGTATTGGTCTCTGACTCATAACAGTGAAGTCATAGGTTGGAATCCGGTAGGATTCGGCATGTGCGCACTACTGACAAGTCGCAATAAGGCGAAACGGCCGTCTAGCGCTTTCCTGGAGGTGTGGTGACTGTCTCGCCGTGTCATACTGTGACTTCTTCTCCAATAACCAAGTTAAACTCTTCGTGGTAATTATTTAGTAACAAGATGCGAGATACCGATTGCAAGAACTAATGGACTTCGCTAAATCATTATGTCGACCACTGAAGTGGCCGACCTAACGCTACAGTCCGGGCAACACTCTACGGGTTAACCTAAGTAGGACAACATACTCCCATCAGTTGATGTACAATGTACTAATCAGGTTTCCTCGTATCTTTTGCGTTTCGTAGTGCCGTTACGTGGACGATATTTTTGTCTTGCTTCAGTCGTCTGGAAGTATCGATGAACTAACAAACACTTTCAACCAAGGCCATCCAGCAATAAACTTCACCAGCGAAGTGGAGCAAAACGGTCGCTTTCATTTCCTCGATGTTGCCATGAAAAGACTGGATGGGGGTTCGCTACAGCGCTGCGTCTATAGGAAAAGTACTTGGAATGGGCAGTACACAAACTTCTACAGCTTCGTGCCACTTAGGTTTAAACGGAACTTGATAAATACCCTAGTGAGCCGAGCTGAACGTATCTGCTCGAATGACACGCTTGCGGAAGAATTAGAGTGCATTCGCTTAGTGCTAAGGGAGAACGGCTATCCGGAAAGCTTCATCAGAGCCAACATGGAACATAAAAAGAAAAAGCCTGTAGTTTTGACAGTAGAACGTAAACCAATCTTCCTACAGCTGCCATACAAGGGCGAGGTTGCGACGGAACTTCTATCTCGTCGTCTTTCGTTTGCACTCAGACGCACCTATCCAGCAGCGCGGATGCAAATCCAGTTCACTAGCTTTCCGATGGTGAGACTAAATTCAAGGGATAAGAGGCCTGTCCACACCAACTCAATGTGTATCTACTCATTTTCTTGCTCCTGTGGAGCGGAATACATTGGTCCTACGACACGGCGTCTATCCGAGAGAATGAAGGAACACCATCCGGTCGGGCTTACAAATAGAAGTGGAAGTACAGCGAACTCATCAATAGCCGCCCACCTAGCCGATACAGGACACGTGACAAAGTTCAACGATTCATTCAAACTAATCTACCAGGCCCCAAAGCATCGCTCGAACTGCGTCCGTAAGCGATTACTAGAAGCCGCTGAAGCAATTGCCATCAGGCTATATGAACCGGAGCTATGTGTTCAGAAGAAGTTAACTAAAGGCTTGGAACTACCCTGGCCCAAACGGCCGGTGACCTCTAACCCACGAGGCCAAACGCGGTCGATTGTCGTGTCCTAACAGACAGCGCTCTCAGCATCCAAGTAACTCGCGCCACTAGTAACGACTTATAATGTCTGTCTACATTTTGATTTTGATTTTGCATATAATTGTATAAGCCTGAAGATGAATTATCGAAAACATATGTTCGCTTACTCTGACTTCAGATCATACTATGGGATTTTTTAAAACTGTTTCGTAGTGCCTTTTCCTCTTTAGGTTGCTGACTGCTTTCGTCCACACGTCGGGAGCTGGAATCACTTAAATACATAAAGAAACATTTATCCAATCCTATTCCTTTCTCATTGTAACTTGTTATGAATCATGACTACATCAGTTACTTCGGCCACCTAAATTTTCCAAGATCTAACCACAAACCCTTCAATGCATCTGGAAATTTCGTTACCAAAGCGATTCATGTCTGGAATGATCACATGTCCGAGATGGTTTTATACACAAACATAACTCACACAGAATAAGCAACTTCAATGTACTTTCAAGTAGTAAGTAGCGCTAGTTAGTTCAGCTGATGTCCGCTGCTGGTTTTGCCAGTTAGAAGGATGTCAAGTGCCAGAATCAACAGACTATCACCCTTTCCCTGCGGCACTCAACATGGTTGGTAATCACAAAACTTCGTCAGAACTTTTGAATCTCAGACTATTTCGCATACTATTATATCGGAGAGGCCAGCTGCTTATTCCGCTAGCCGTGGAGTCTGGATTCCACCAGACAGGATAAGTTCATTTTTAGTTCTAGCAAAAACTGAGGTTTGGACGCAATTACTGCAAACCACCACCGCTTGGAATGGAGTCTGAACACTCAACTTAGCAGAAATTCGGAGAAACAGACTACTCAAGTGCTTTTACTAACCCTATCAACCAGACCTACACGAGGTGATAGCGCCATGTAGTATATTGCTAAGTTCGTCCTTGTAGGCGTTTTCAACAGTATCAGTACTACAGGCGATTTGAACATACCCGGAAGCTTCCAAGTGCTCTTATGTGCTCTGACTTTAGTTGTCGTTATCGACTGTTTGGCACACAGATGTCTGCTCACAGAGATCCAGTGGGGCAACGACGATCCAGTCCGTTGGGTTGACTGCGGTGCACACCGCAGCTTGACTTGAAACTTACAGCACCATACCTGTACACGTGCAATCAATTTCAAGGATAAGTTACTGCATATGACCGAATATAAATTGATACTTTTCGGACACTTTTTCATATCTGTGATGGGAGTACGGCTTATGAAAAGGTTGTACGCCATTTGAAGTAAGACATGGAAAATTCACCTAGCAATTCACTGCACACCTCTGCTCCTCTCTTCCCTTAACACCACCAGCTGTGCCATTGCCCCATAACCCACTGAGCTAACTATTCTTCCACTGCAGGAACCATGGCTTTTCTACCACGTGTTGCTTTCTGTAGAGATATTAGTGACAGTTCTGACCTTTTCTTCCTCGACTCTCTCACTAGCTTTTCATTCACGGTCAAATGGCGTACAACCATAAAATTATTATTTTGCTCGGCAAACGCGATACCTTCCAAGTCACAGCCAGCAGCATATTCACATCGTTTCTGTTGAGACAGTTTTTCACGTTTCTACGGCTTTGAAAGATTGCATGACATGAAAACACTTTCCCTCCCTGCTGGCTCATGTGAGGTCGCGTTATCGCTATTTTGGGGAGCGAATTAAAAACACCTATACATTACGATCACCACAACTGCGCAATAGTAGAGTAGGTTTTCTTTGGACATATTCAAGTTAGAGCAGGTAGTGGGGAAGTCAGAATGGTGGCGAAACAGTTTCATTTCTATTTTTACAGATTTTTGGGGGATCGACTTACATAGGGATTTCCGACTTTGAGCACATTTGTTATTGCAAAGTTATACTGTCAGCCTATTTATGGATGAGCTTCGGTTATATACCGTATGTGCGAATATTTCGGTATCCGCGTGAGGGTCATGAATTCTAGGTTCGACGCTAGCTCACGTCAACTTCCAGATCCTGTAATGTACGCAACTATTCAAA